GCCGGCAGCGACGGTGACGGAAAGAGGAGGCGGCGAGGGATAGGAGAGAGAGAGAGATCGATTTTGCAGGATAAAGAGAGAGAGAGAATCGGGAGAAAATGAAGAAGAAGAAGAAGGCGAGGAGATTAATTTAGGGCACTTATTTGCGACGACAAAGTCGTCGCAAATAAAAAATTATTTGCGACGACATTTTCGTCGCAAAAAACACAAACGTCGTCGCAAATAAATTTTTTTTCCCGCCCATACTTGCTCGTCAACTAGATTATTTGTGACGACCATGAAACAATGTCGTCGCAAATAATCTGAACTTATTTGCAACGACAAGTCGTCGCAAATATGGCCAATTGTCGTCGGTAAAACGTGGGTTACATTCGCGCCAAAAATCTGCGCCATCAAAATTTGCGCGGTAAAATTATTTGCGACGACAAATAATTTATTAGCGACGACATGTGAATTTTTTTAAACAGGAGTTATTTGCGACGACATGTCGTCGCAAATAGTCTACTTTTTGCGACGACAAATGTCGTCGCAAATGGGCATATTTGTTGTAGTGATATGTGAAAAATGCAAAGAGTGTCAATTGTAACCACACTATATATGTATACTAGCATACAAAACTACTTCCAACAAACTTGCCTCTCTATAATCAATATTCAGATCATCGTTTTCTTTTAACAACTGTGTCTACCAATTAATCCTTAATATAATTCCAAAAAAAAAAAAAATTGATAAATAATATTATTATGTTGAGATGACATGTAGATATATTTTTGTCTGGTTTCATTATTACCAATTCATGCATGTATCTATTATCGGTTGTACGTTTAGTCAGGGAATTTTTCACTGGGGGCTATATATATATATATATATATAAGACAAATAGATAGTTTTTTCTTGAATAGGGACATAGTTATACATTTAATTACTGAGTATGGGTACAGTTATAATGTCTTTTTATAAGATGGGGCATAACTGAAATTTTAAGAAAATTTTGGGGTAAATATTTATGAGATAACAGTTCTTCAAGAGAGAAATGAAGATAGAATAGATAACAAGCCGAAGTTTCAGTAACTGCTTTTCGGCCACATATAGAAGCAAAAAAAAAAAAAAAAAGAACGAAAAAACAAAACAAAACAAAACAAAAACAAAAACAAAAAACAAAACAAAAAATTCTAAGACATCAGTGTTTGGACGATTTCCTCCGAGACAAATTGGTTCTAGAAAAAACAATGAACGGAAAAAAAAAATTCGCTTATGTAGAGGAACAAACCATTGGTTTATATATTTGAATAAAAAGTTTAAGCAAAAGTTAAAATTTATTTGAGAGCAACCATTATAGCAGAAATATTTAAGTTCTGCTTGGAATGCCTTAAATAAGTAGCTTTTGGCTTATTTAGTTTAAGAGTTTCTTTAGGACGTATTTGGGAAGATATACTAGTCAACCTTTTGGCTTTTATAAGATCTTTTAAAACAAGTCATCTTCTAAATACTTACAGAGAAAGAGCTTATGAAATGTCATTTTATTTACACTTCTAACCTCTTATTTGTAAATAATAAATTAAAATTTTCTTCTATATCCTTATATTACATTATTTTTTAGTTTTTACAACAATGAAAATTTTCATTTATTTAGCCGGTTCAAAATTTCTTTTAAAATAAAAAATGCTCTTTTCATTTTTATTATCCAAATATAATTAAAAATCCTTGACACGTGCTTCTTTTTCTTTATTACTTAAAAAAAAAAAACCCCCTTAAATTGTAATTCAAACTAGAAATCAAATAAGCAAAAGTATGCTTGAAATGAACTGACTAGTATGCTTGACAATAAGTCTTGTGGGAAAAAAAAAAAAAAAAAAAAAAAAAAAAAAAAAAACCGGAGAGAGAAACAATCAAACCGTGACTTCAATAGGCACACTAGTATCAATACGATGCTGGTAATAGAGATCAATGCAATCGATGTCGAGCCGCTTCAGGCTGGCCTCACAAGCGGCCCGCACATACGCAGGGTCTCCTTTCACTGCAAACCGGCCGTTGTCATCAACCAGGATGCCAAATTTAGTAGCTAGCTGAACTCTCTCTCTCACTCCCCCTTTTAGTGCCTGCAAATAATCTAGTCATGATCAACTTTATGTTGAGGTTTAAATGTTGAATCCTCGCAAGTAAACAAAAAAAAAAAAAAAAAGAATTATAGTACCTTTCCAAGAAGGATTTCGTTGGTGAATGGTCCGTAGACGTCGGAGGTGTCGAGGAAGGTAACACCGGAGTTGACGGCATGGCGGATGAGGGCGATCATGTCAGGTTCAGGCTTTGGAGGGCCGTAGAAGGCTGACATGCCCATGCAGCCTAGTCCCAGAGCTGAGACCTCAAGACCTTGCGACCCAAGTTTGATCCTCCTCACCGACACCATTTCTTTCTAATATGCCTCTTCTAATTACGAGATCACCACACAAAAAAGTGGTCAAAATATAGCAGCTCACAGGTGAAACGAATAGTGATAATTAATGTGTCCTTTAGCCATTTTTTGTGTATATATAATTTTGAAGACAAATACATAATAGAATAGAATAAAGAAACAGAAGTAAAGATGGCTTGTGAGTCAGCGATGACGTCAAAGGTACAAAAATTTATTATTAGGCGTTAATAAAGAGGAGAAGTGAATAGCCGCCATAAGTTTGGAGCTATTTCTCTTTTGAGTTTCCTAAAAAAAAAAACTACCATTACTTTTTTATTTTTAACTATTAAATTTATATGAAAAATTGTTTATTACGTATATCTTTTTAATTAGATGTAATTTTGACATGCTCTAACAGTTAAAAATTAATAATTTTTTTTTTTGTAGGATTTATTGCTTTTTTGTTCTATTTCATAATTTTAGGATAGTGGTGATAGATTTGCTCCGCTTAAACTTTAAATTTAATTGTACTAAGTAATTTAGGTTTTAGTATTTCTGTGTGTTTTCATATAAACTGTAGTTTTTGAGTGTCGGGTTAGAAAGATTTTAGACAAATAAACATCGATATGTACAACTAGTCCATTGGCGTATCATTAGAATAGCCTACATAGGACGCGGAGGATGTTTTAAAAGCGCTGAAGATTCGTTTCATTTGAAGATTAACTTTATCTCTTTTGTCTGCTACAAACAATCACAAGATTCACAACTCAAGCAAAACATTGTTTCTGGTTCAAAGACAAACCCATGCATAAATATAATTTGCTAATTTATTATAGTAAATATGGCTCTTTTGGGAGCCTAATTCATAAAAGACCAATTTTTTTTAAAATTTGATACATGATCATAGTTTTCGGGTCCTTATTTTTTTTTTATTTTTATTCATGTTCTATCATTAATTGACTGTGATCTATCACTTATTTATTGCAGTCTAACAATAATTAACCATTAATTTTGTATTTTGTATTTATTTTTCACAGTCTATCACTAATTGACCGTAGTTTAGCACTGATTGACTGCGGTCTATCAGTGATTGACCATGATCTATTATTGGTTAACTAAAGAACTATTTTAACCCCAATGTATTACTGATCTCAGCCTACCATTAATCGACCGTGTAACTGATTGACTTAAAAAAAAAAAAGCCACCACTAGTGTTATTTTGAAAAAATGGGCCATCCACTTAAACAAGGATTATAAATGAGCCACCTAGCTCAATTTCCATTTTTTTTACCACCAATTAATGGTTTTAGACTTGTAGACTTCTTCTTCAAGTGAAAATCATATCTAGTAGGAAGAAATGATCGCTAGTAATATACAAATATGTTTAGTTTTGTTCTTTTTACAACTCAGATGATAACTTAAATATTATTTGTATAGTGTTTTTCTTATAAAAATTTAAATTTAAATTATTTTTTCTTACATAAAAAATTTAAATTGTGATTTAAATTGGATAAATAATACACTTTTGTTTTTTTGTTCCATGTACGTCAATCAAAGAGATAGAGGAGCGGAAGGAGAGAGAGCAGAAAGACACGAGAAGCTCGTTAATCACTTCAAGGCTTCAAGCATATATAATATTCATGAGAGAGAATGTGAAGAGGGATCGTCCATTGGAAGTTTGGAACGGTCTTGAAATGTTTAAATCTACATAAAAAATTTAAAGTGGGGAAATCAATGGTGTGAGGCATTGAAGAATATTTATCATATCAAATATAATAATTGAGGCTGCTTTTAATTTTTTTAATTAAAAGAGTATTTTTATTATTTTTGTTGTTTTCTTTCGTCTTTCACAGGAGGTTTTTTTTTCTTTTTTTTTTTTTTTTGTCTTCTCGTTCTGTTGGGTTTTGTGACTGGATTCTAATCTTTTTCATTTTGGGACCTTTTTCAGTACGCTAATATATCAGTAGGTTAAATTTTATGTCCATTAAATATGTATAAAATCACGTAAAAGTCAAAAATTACACATATCTAATGGTTAAAAAAACATGACATACCGGTACACCAGGCGTACAAGAGATTCTCCCTTTTATTTTCTATATTTTTATTTTTATTAATAAATTAAAGTGGAAATTTGATAAGGTCCAGTTTCTTAATAGGTTCAAAATTAAGATGTCCTTTTTTTACTAGATACTCCCTCTCAATTAAGAAATATATATATTTAAGGCAAAATTTTCATTTTAAATTTAACAAACTACATACTTAATAATAGTTGCAAATAACCACCAGCTATACGAAAATTCGACCTTGAACATTAACTGAATCCACTAATAAAGACAAATGAAACACTAGGGTATGCATACACATGTAACACCCTGAAGAATTAATTGAGATTAATTAAGGTAATTGAGATTATTAGTGTGCCTAATCTGGATTATTAATTGAGTATTAATTAATAAATGTTATCGACACGTGTGAGTTTAAATAGTTCCAAGGTATTTAAATTATTTTTAGTAATTTATTTTAACTCAGAAGTGTATATGGGCGTATTTCTGGACTGTTGTTTAAAATATTGTACACATGTCCGTTTCTTTCCTTTTCCTTTCCTTTTCTTTTTCCTTCTTCCTTCCCTTTTTCTTTTTCCTTTCTTTTTCCCTTCCTTTCCCGTGCGTCTCTCTCTCCCTCACTCTCTCTCACTCTCCCGTGCTCTCTCTCACTCTCTCTCTCTCATTTTTGTCCCAAATCAAACGGATCTTGAACCAAGGAAAGATTTAAATAAGTTTTCAACGTCAAGAGAAGGATTCGAGGTAAGATTACTGAAAGAACCTCTCTTGAATCTCAAGTTTTTGAATTTCAAAACTTATTTTGGTTCAAACCGGATTTTTGATGATTTTGAGTAAAACTAGAGTAGAAATTGGAGATCTTGGGTTCTTTGGACTTGTTTTAGGACCTAGAACCCAGATCTAGTGGTTTTCCTTTCAAATATCTCGATTTGGGACTGGATTTGCGGGTTTTAGACTGATTTTCGCGAGCTTCTCTCGCGCAGCTGATTCCACCGGTCGACCTGTGCGGTCGGCCGGATCACATAGAAACCGGTCGATGATCGACCGGACTGTAGGCTGACCGGTCGATCGGTCCGGTTGACCGGTGTGCACACTACTAGTTGACCGGTAGTCTTGCACTGCTCTGTCACCGATCGACCGGTTGACATGGGGTTTGACCATGTTTGGCCTGAAATTGCTGTTTTAACCCCTGTTTTCAGGGAGAACCCAAATTAGCTTCATTTGGGGACTTGAGATAAATGGATTAGCATTGTTAATCCTTGATTTGAGATTGAAAACCCTTGGAATGATATTTTGAAACATGAAAATGGATTAGGGCACACTAATTAGAAACCTTGGTATCTAATTGAGATTGGATTGCTTTAGGAATGAGAATTAATCCTAAAGTGTTGTTTTGCACCAGTGATCGCTGAGGATTCAGACTGAAGGGGCTTGAGGAAGTGGAAGCCGGAAAGGGCAACGCTAGTCCCAGTTTGATAGTGCGAGGTAGGATTTCTATCCCTTTTCCTTGTGAGCCTGTTTTCAAAAAGGATTTCGGCCTTGAAAATATTTTAAAGAAAGGGATTGGTTTGCGAAAGAAAAACGCTTTGAAACCATGGCTTGTTTAGTTTGTGAAAATCCATGGCTTGTCCTGTCCATGGAATCCATAGCTTGTTTAGTCATGGAACCTCATGGCTTGCCCAGTCATGGGGCCCGCGGCTTGAGTAGTTCGTGGGGTCATAAAAACGATTTCAGAAAAATTAATGAATGATTTCTTAAGCAAAGAGATCTTGTGAACTGGTAATAGAGTCTATTGCTGTAAGCCTAGATAGGATACGGAAAGTGCATCCTCGGGGGCAGAACCCGAAACTCGGTCCGGGTAGGCAAGGTACTTGGTTAGGTAAGTAATTTGTACTAATTACTTGCTGAAGCCTGTAATATGGAGATGTTACATTTATTTCCTTTAAGAAAAAAGATGTGAGGTTCCGGCTGTCTGTTGAAACTGATTGTCTATTTATTTACGTACCTATTTATTCATTTACTTGCACTTTATCTATTTATTTATTTTACATCCTTGCAAATTATATCCTACTGGGCCTTTCGCTCACGTTTTATATTTCAAATGTATTAAACCCCTCCCAGGAGACTCTAGGAGCGGCGCAAGGTAGCGGAAGATTGCTATTGTTGGATCAAGAGAGGATTGAGTTCATCCTCTTGAATAAATGTAAGGAATTTGAGAATTCTGTAAACTTATGTAATATTTGGATTTACTAAACTGTGGTTGATGTCTATTGTAATGATTATTTACATGAGCATGTATGTACGATAATGTATATCCTGTGGGGTGGAGCCATGTGTGTCAGAGGCTCCGGAATTCTGTAATTTATTTATATTTTAATGCAATTAAGTGTGAGGCCCGGTTAGAAATCTGCTTTATTAATCCCAAATCGAGTTCCACGTCACCCACTCCGTTTGGGGGGCGTGACAGCACAAGTGTTGAAACCCAACGAAAAAAGACCCGTTCAGCACAAATAAAATCAAACGCGGTCAAAGCTCGTTATAAAACCATTACAGTCGATGGATAAAATGTAATGCCCCCTTACGTCACAGAAATCATTACTTTAATTCATTCACTTTAATATATTAGCAGAAGCTGAAATTGAATTAAAACACATACCACGTAAATTTTTTTTTTTAATTTATTATCCTTGATAACTTTTCCCGTACGTCTCGCTCCTCGGCTAGCTCGACATGATACCAAAAGTGTTCGGCCAACCGACTATATGCAAGGCGAGTTAATTTACATACATAATACATCCAGCTAAATGTAAGTTCTTGCATGTAATATAACTACTTTTAATTTCAAAACGATACACTAACTTCTGAAAATTCCAAATACCATGAAACAAATAACATAATCCTGAATAAACACATAGATGAAGACTACTAAAATCAACAAAAGTGCGGCGCAGAATAAAAATTAAAGTTTATTAAAACTA